GTGCTAACAGTCCACCATCGTTGCTTCATGCCTTTGATCATGAAAGTCTTTGGGATTGTGTTAGTATCCTGTTGCTGCTATAACAAATAACCACAAATCTGGAAATATTTAAAGAAACAACTAGGGTCTTATGTAGTCCAGTTTGGCTTTGTAGCTAGGATGACCTTGAGCTTCTGGTTCTCCTGTCTCCACTCCTGAGGGCTAGACTTACAGACATGCAGGAGGACCTGGGTTCCATCTGCAACGCTGCATAAAGCGGTACCTGGTAGTGCACACCTCTTACCCCAGCACTGGAGACGGAGGCAGAGACAGGAGGGCCAGGAACTCATAATCATTCTCAGGGGCATGTAGAGTTCAAGGACAGCCTGGATTGCAGGAGACTCGGTCTCAAAATAAATTAGCTAATTAATTAGAACGCTTTCTTAAAGTTAAGACATTAAGTAATAGTGCCCTTTACACTGTTATCAGACATGACCCTAGATGAGCTCCCCACGGCAACGCCAACACTCTGCCTGTCTTTCAGGAGACCCCACGTCACAGCAACCTGCCGCTGGTTGCAAGCTGGAAGACTTTCTTGCTGTTCTTCGGCACGGCCATCTTCACCTTTGAAGGTGTGGGGATGGTAAGAAAGAAGAGGTGCCCCACGGGGTGGCCAGCTGTGAGTCCCCATGTCACCCTAGCAGTGTTGAGGGTAGCAAAGCATGAGTCGTCGTCCCCCCGTCCCCCATCCCCTGTCCTCCCCCCCCATGACAGGAAAGTTTGCACTGATGAGGGCACCTCCCAACCCAGACCACACCTCAAGTTCCCAAGACAAAGACAAAGATGGAAATTTACTAAGCAGCCCAGACTGAGCAGAGTGTTGGGGCAATAGCAAGCCTGAGACAAGATGAAGGGGGAGTGAGCATCTGGAGAAGGTGTGACCATGTGGAGGGGTGTGGCCATAAAGCTGAGGTGGTGATGTGGAGGGGTGTGGTCATTTGTAGTGATACAGCAATATGGCCAGTGTGACTGTCTGGAGGGGTGTGGCCTTGTGGAGGGGTCCCTGCTGACTCAATCCACCAGGAGAACACTTACACCCACGCCACGGCCACTCCTTTCAACCTTGTCTTTCCCAAACCGTCTGCTTCCAGGTTCTTCCTCTCAAAAGCCAGATGAAGAGTCCACAGCAATTTCCCGCAGTGCTGTATCTGGGGATGTCCTTTGTCATCTTCCTCTACGTCAGCCTAGGGACTCTGGGCTACATGAAGTTTGGCTCAGACACTCAGCCCAGCATCACCCTCAACTTGCCCAATTGCTGGTAGGAACCTGCCTGCCTCACATGGGACAGGGAGGCATGGGAGGTGAGCCTTGGAGACAGACGTGAACGGTTACCTTTAGCAGAAGAAATGAGTTGTTGTGAACTGTTGACATTCGTGTTAATTATGCTAATGGGTGAGTTTGATAACCAGGCACTGTGTTCCTCCTCAGTTTTTCACAACAGCCTTAAGCATTATCATCGAGGACTCCACAGAGCAGGCGAGATACCAACATTAGAGGCTCTCAGAGACCTTCCCAGCTAACACTGTCTGGTGGGAGTCGAGACTTGAATTCCAAGTTTGACCCTAAAATGCAAAGGCCCTAAGATGAGCGATGTGGAGCTGTTGGTAGAGCATTTGTGCAGATTGTCTGAGGCCCTAGGTTGGATAATAATTTTAATTTTGAGAAAGGGTCTCTGCTCCCCAAGTGCTGGGATTACAGGCCAGCATGTACTACCATTACCTGGATAAAACCAAATTACAAAGTTTAGGCATGTACCACAGATGGACTGCTACTTAGGCTCTTGAGTATCCCCAAGCTAGAACTCAGCCTGGAGTCCTTACCCTCAATCATTCATTCTTTCATCCATCCATCCAGGAAACATCTGTGGGTGGGATTTTTAGAGGAGGTGTTAGGTTCCTAGTGACTAAGTACATGTCCTGAAGCTAACTAATAGGATCTGAATTCTGGTTCCTCCATGGCCGTGGGCGAGCCTCCCACCCTTCTGCACAGGAAGGCTTGCACACGTGCCTCTTCATGTCAGTCAGGACAGCTTCATGATGCTTCAGTCATGAACCATCACTGTGACTGTCACCCAAGTGCTTAACTCTTTGTTCACACCAACCCATCATGGGGTGGCCCAGGCTCTCAGTCTAATGGATCAGTCACACCCCAGGGTGTTGCTGGTTGTCATGACAGAGAGCCACTGAACGACATAAGCTCTTCCCAAGCAGCTGGTGCAGCAGCTTGAACTACCTTAAGCTAGAAGAGATAGCCTTCCTGTCAGACTGCCCTCCACTGGCAGAGAAGGGCCTAGAAACCTTTGATGGACAGTCCTCTTTTGCACTCCCTGGCAGTGTCTGCAGGCAGCAATTGCTTTAGTATATAGAAAATGTTAGAAATGCAGCAAGCTCTGTGAACTATCTATCAACTGGTAACCACTGTTATAGGTCCTTACAGCCTTGGGCTTTCAGGTAGGAGGGGCAATGGTGACATTCACATTCCCAAAGCCAGAGCAGTAAAATAAGGAAAATGTTACCAGCCCCACCCTCCTAATGACCAGATGAGATCATGAGTGTGGATGCTTTGAAATTGTGCCTTATTTTATGTAAGTGAGATATTATCTTAATATGTGGGTCTTATTCTTGGCTGATTACGCTTCCTCTAGCTAGCCTGGGCACAGCCTTTTTATTCTGAGGGTGGCAGGTAAATACATGGGCAGTGAGTTCTAGTCAGGCTTTTTACACATGCTGGTATAAACCAGCTGGTGAGTGGAGGGAGAGGAATTCACTCTTGAGGGGAGTCTTGAATAAACACCCTTCCCAATAAGAGTACTAACAATTCTAGAAAAAAAAAGAGGGTGATAAGTACATAAAATAACAATTTTATATACAAAAGGTTCTCAAAACATACAAAAGAAATGCCAGTTTAAAAAAATTACAGTTTTGGGACTGGGGCTATAACTCAGCTAAGTGCTTGCCACAGAAGCATGAAACCTGAATCTGGCCTTTAGTACTTGAATAAAAATCTGTGTTTGGGGCTGGGCTGAGGTGGCTCACACCTTTAATCCCAGCACTTAGGAAGCAGAGGCAGACAGATCTCTATGAGTTTGAGTCCAGCCTGGTCTACACATCGAGTTCCAAGACAGCCAAGGCTACACAGAGAAGCCCTGCCTCAAACACACACACACACACACACACACATCTGGGTTAGGAGACACACACTTGCACTATCACTGGAGAGGTAGACGAGCAGAACCCTAGAATGTTCTGGCCAGCTAGCCTAGCCAAATCAGTGAGAGTTCCAGGGCCCACAGAGAGATCCCTCATCAAAAACAAGGGGGCAGCTCCTGAAGAACGACACCTCTACATGCCTACACACACATGTACATGTGCACACAGGAACACACACATACTGCAATATCAGAGACTGATATGATCGAAGTACTATTTTAACACTTAGAGATGCCATAGACTAAGACAAAAGGGCAGCATGTCAATAGGCATCAAATTTTAAGTCATAGCTGGGGTCTGCTGCATAGATCAGAGGTTGAGTGCTTGCCCAGCATACACGAGGTTTTGGGTTCATTCCTCAGCAATGCATTAACCGGAGTGGTGGCTCGTGCCACTAATCCCAACACTTTTGAAATGGAATCCCAGCTGGGCGTTGATGGCCATGCCTTTAATCCCAGCACTCTGGAGGTAGAGGCAGGTGGATCTCTGTTTGAGGCCAGCCTGGTCTACAGAGAGAGTTCCAGGACAGCCTCCAAAACAATACAGAGAAACTCTATCTCAAAAAACAAAAACAAAAACAAAAAAAAGAAAAGAAAAAAATGGAATCCAAAGTCCGAGGTCATTCTTGGCTGTATATCAACCTGGAAACCTACTTGGGACACAGGGTGATATCCAATGTCGATAAAAAAATTAATTTAGAAATAATTTTTGCTTCTGGAGTTGATTTGCAGATAAGGAATACGGAGGTGTGTGCTATGTATGCTGATAAGCAGATATAGGATGTGTGGGTGTGTATCATGTGTGCTGAGATATGCAGATATATATAGAGATAGTCTTTGCTGGATTTTTTTCTTGGCAAAAGTTTCTCATTAACTGTCAACTAGTTGAAAAACTAGAAAAAAAACCTCTGTGCTGTTAAATGGAAGTGCCAGACGTGTGTTCACAGGGAACAACTTACAAGAAATGCTTTGTTTATCTATTGTTCTGAGATGGGATCTCACTGTATAGGCCTTGCTGACGTAGAACTCACTATGCATGCCAAGCTACCCTCAAACTTGTGGCAATCCTCATGCCTCTGCCTCCCAAGTGCTGGGATCACAGACATGTGCCACTACATCCAGCTTTTTTTTTTTTTTTTTTTTTTTTTTGGTTTTTCGAGACAGGGTTTCTCTGTGGCTTTGGAGGCTGTCCTGGAACTCGCTCTGTAGACCAGGCTGGCCTCGAACTCACAGAGATCCGCCTGCCTCTGCTGGGATTAAAGACGTGTGCCACCAACGCCCAGGTTACATCCAACTTTATATTTGGTGAAATAACAAAGGTCAACAATTCATAGAGACATGCCACCATGCACCTATAGGTGTATGTGTGGCTCCCCTACTTTCTGTTTAAGATTGCAGGCACAGGGCTGGGAAGACAGTGGGTAAAGTGTTTACCACCCAAAATATACACCCAACTTAGAACCCTCAAACCCATATAAAAGCTGGGCACAGTGGTGCATATCTGTATTCCCAGTGTTCCTAAGCGAGATAAGAGGCAGAGACTGGAGAACCCATGTGGTGCAGCTGGTCTGACATATGCAGCAACAAACAGGAGAGACACTGTTCCAAATATGGTAGAAGGTTAGAATGCTCAATAAAATTGTCATTTGACCTCCATGTGTGAGTCATGGCAAACTCCAAGGGAGAATCAAGGATAGGGAGAATGGTCATGGCTGTATGGCTGCTACACAGTGAATCGTACTGCACATAGATATGACATTTATAATTTTTATTACAATACTTAAATGAAATACCTGGAAGTTCCTATAGCCTCAGAACTTCCAGGAATGCATGCTTCCATGTCCCCTCTGAGCCAGTCTAACCTGAGTCACTGACTTTTGACCTGCGAAGCTTCCAATGGGTCCTGAGCCTCCTTCCCAGATGCCTGGTGGCATCTCACATCCTTTCAATGTTCTGTCTGCAGGTTGTACCAGTCAGTCAAGGTGATGTACTCCGTTGGTATCTTCTTCACCTATGCCCTCCAGTTCCACGTCCCAGCTGAGATCATCATTCCCTATGTCGTCTCACGAGTGTCTGAGAACTGGGCTCTGTTTGTAGACATGACCGTCCGCACAGCCTTGGTCTGCCTGACCTGTGAGTTGGGGAAATGATGCTTATTCACTCAAGCCTGTGACATGTGTCCTACCCCTGTATAGTGCCTACCCAGCAGCCTTGGCGCCACCACTTGCCTCTGATCTACCAGATGTTTGTCTCCTTGCTTCTCCCTCTTTCTACCTGAAGACAGGCTTAGAAAACCCACATAAGAAAGCCACCCCAGGCCTAGGGAGTGAGTGCTGACTGATTCACAGGCAAAGGCAAGATCTTCCTTATACAGCCACTTGCCTACCTGCTGGTCGCTGTCCTCATGTGTCTAAAACACCAACCCAGCATTGCTACCAACTCAGGGTGCCATGGCCCAGAGAAATCAAGTCACATCCCCACGTCACACAGCTCCATGACAGAATGGGGGATTTGGTCGGCCAGGCCTGTCTCCCTTCCATTTTATGTATGGTCAAGTCCCTGAGTCATCAATTACTTAGCTGTAAAGAAATTTACATATTCAATTGTAAAGAAACTCTTTTCATTCACCCACCCTTTCATTCATAGTGAACATTGCTTAGGAAACATTGGAAGAAGGGCTGGGAAATCCTTTCTCTGGAACATTCTAGGAAGAGACGATCAGAAGAGGTGCCCAGGAGGAAAGAGCAAAAGGACTGGGGATGTTTGACCTAGAGAAGCAAGGGCACTGAGCTTCTAGTGTTTGATTATAGTAGGAGCAGAAGAGACCCTTAGTGTGTGTAGGGTTCAGTGAGAGACCCTATCTCAAGGGAATGAGGCACAGAGTGCTAATGATGGAGTAGGACACGTGATTCCCTCCTCTGAACTCCACACTCATACACACACACACACACACACACACACACACACACACACACATTTTTTTTCTCTATAAAAATGGTAATTTTACAAAAGGGTTGCAGGGCCTACAGGGTCCAGAGCCACGGTGCCTGACCTAATCCTTAAACTTCAAAGTCATGTTTGTTGGAGACTCCCCTCTTTGAGGCACACTCAGTGAATCTACATTCTCTCTCTCTCTGCAGGTTTCTCAGCTGTTCTCATCCCTCGCCTAGACCTGGTCATCTCCCTGGTGGGCTCTGTGAGCAGCAGCGCCCTGGCCCTCATCATCCCACCCCTGCTGGAGATTGCCACTTTTTACTCTGAGAATATAAGCTGTGTGACCATTGTCAAGGACATCATAATCAGCATCCTGGGCCTCTTAGGGTGTGTATTTGGGACATACCAAGCCCTCTACGAGATGACTCAGCAGGCCCGCTTTTCCATGGCTAACTCTACAAGTGGCTACACATAATTGCCTATTTTTATTTGAATAGTTCGTCCTTCCTCCCATCCTCTGTTGGATTCCCATTATATACGTTCATCAAAATCCAGCATCTCTCTGTTAATTAGTGGCTTCTTTATCTTCCAGGAGGAACATGGGTGCTGGTGACACAGGTTGGGACTGATCCCTGAAAGGTGCCCAGCTATTGGCTCTGAGTTTCTTGGACAGTTCTTTTGTACCTTGAAACCCAAATCAGGTCAAATCTTTGATTCCAATAGTCTCAAAAAGTCAGGCAAGGCTGTGCATGCCTGCAGTCCCAGTGGCAGAGAGAAGGGGAGGCAGACAGAGACAGATGGATGCCTGAAGCTCATTGGCCAACCAGCCTAGACAAATCAGAGAGCCCAGGTTCACTGACAGAGCATGTATCTCAAGCATAGAGGTAGAAGGCAATCAAGGGAAGATACCTAATATCAGCTTCGGTATAGCTTCACATGCTAGTACATGTACACACAGATACACACACCCACAGGGATAAGTACATGTATCTCAAGCATAGAGGTAGAAGGCAATCAAGGGAAGATACCTAATATCAGCTTCGGTATAGCTTCACATGCTAGTACATGTACACACAGATACACACACCCACAGGGATAAGTACATGTACCACATGCACACAATCAACGTGGGGGAAACAAAAAAGAAAGCGGGTGGAGATACAGAGATGACTCATCAGTCATCTTGCACAGAACTTGAGTTCAGTTCAGGGCTCCATGTCAGACAGCTCACAAGCCTGTAACTCTAGCTCTAAGGCATTCTGACACCCTCTTCTGGCTTTGTGGGTGCACACACACACACACACACACACACACACACATATATATAAAAAGAAAATGGCTGGCACACCCCACAGTCCCCGATGCCCTGAAAATCATATAATGCATATAAATTTCTGAAGCATCAGGCTTAGACAGTGTGCACTGAGGGAATATGAATCTCCTATTTGGATAAGAGTTTCAAGAAGAAAGTAGCCTTAACTATGTCCAGCCACTGAGTCAAAATTTATCGCCCAAACATTTAAAAAATAATTTCCCAGGCCAGGCGTTGGTGGCCTATGCCTTTAATCCCAGCACATGGGAGGCAGAGGTAGGCTGTGAGTTCAAGGCCAACCTGGTCTACAGAGAGAGTTCCAGGACAGGCTCCAAATATACACAGAAACCCTGCTTCAAAAAAACAAAAATTAATTGATTGATTGATTGATTGATTACCCCGGCGATCTGAGGAGAGGCAGAAATAACAGCTCACTTCTTTAGAAGTTTTCATTACATATCCATCCTTCAGAGAAGGAGCACTCCCATTATTACCTGAAAGGAGCCACTTTTCCATCTGTGCTGTTTGCTCCTTCCTCCTTTTCCTCCCTCCTCCCTTCCCTTCCCTGTCTTCCCTTCCCTGTCCTCTAGTCCCTCTCCTCATCTCCCTTCCCCCCTCCTCTCCCCCTGCCAGCCTGCCCCTCTTTCCTCCCAACTCTCTCCTCCTGTGGAGAAAGAGATTTTTATCCTCTGCGAGGATTATTGACCTACTTTTTAAAATAACATTTAGCTGGGGGAAGGGTTTTAAAAAGACAGCGCTCCCTGCAAGCACAATGCTACTGTGTTTCTCGTCCAAGGACAATTTTGTAATGTGGAAGTCTTGACGCATGTAGCACTCCTGGGCATTTGTCCCAAGCATCTTTTGTGTCTGAAAAGATTAATATAAAATAGTAGAAAGTTAGAGAAACACATCCTGTGTAATTCAAATAATGAATTCAGAAAAGCTATCACGACACCTGGCTTAGAGCATACTACTGGGTAACTGTGACTTATCATAAGCTGTCTAAAAGCAAACAAACAAAAAACAGGTGACAGTCACACAGAGGCAGAGGCAAGAGAATAACAAGTTCAAAGTCTGGGTTTGGAGGGGGTTCAACAATTTAGGGAGGTCCTGTTTCCAAAATAAAAAGTGAAACCCTGGGGCATGGTTCAGGGGCAAAGCTCTTGCCTGGTACGTAGAAGACCTGAGGTTAAACCCCCAGTAGGGCAAAAAGCAAACTAACAGAATGATGTGAGTCACAGCTGGATAAAAGCATCATGGGAAATTAACACTGCAGAGCCAGCTCCTTTGTGGACACAGCCGAGCACTGGTACTGGCGCCCAGGGTCTTGTGCATACTAGGCAAACACTGTACTAATGGCGCCACTGCCCAGGCTTATGGTGTTTCTTTGAAGTTCTTTCTAGAGCTTTCCCCCTTGCATTCCTAACCTAGCTAAGTGTCTGTTGCAAGAGACCTATGATCTGGCCTGTCTCTGCTTGTGACATGCCTCCTTACCAACCACAATCACTCCTGACTAGATTTAAAGTGAGAGGCTTGTGATTTTTTTTACTTTTGTTTACACACTGAAAAATCACTGTATGGTCATGAGCTGTGTAGCAGTTTAAATGAGAATGGCCTCTGGAGGTTCATAAATTTGAGTGTTTGATCACTAGGGAGTGGAACTGTCTGAGAAGGATTAGACGGATTAGGAGATGGGTCCTTGTTGGAGAAGGTATGGCTTTGTAAGAGGAGGTTGTCACTGGAAGTGGGCCTTGATGTTTCAAAAGCCCATAGCAGACCAAGTCATCTCTGTCTGTCTACTGCCTGTGGATCAGGATGTAGTGCTCCCGGCCATTTCTCCAGCACCATGTCTGCCTACTTGTCACCACACTCCCTGCTGTGATGATTGATAATGGTCTACGCCTCTAAAACTATAAGCAAGTCCCAAATTAAATGTCTTCTTTTCTAAGAGTTGTCTTAGCCGGGCGTTGGTGGTGCACGCCTTTAATCCCAGCACTGGGGAGGCAGAGGCAGGCGGATCTCTGTGAGTTCGAGGCTGGGCTGGACCGATAGCCTCCAAAACAATACAGAGAAACCCTGTCTTGTAAAACCAAAAAAAAAAAAAAAAAAAAAGTTCAAGGCTATCACTGACTACCTAGTGAGTTGCGACCCAGCTGGGTTATCTGAGACTGTATCTCAAACTTCCTACTGGGGCAGGCTGGAGGTAGGGAGAGGGAGAACCTATATGTCAATAATTATTTGCTTTACTGTACTAGCGCATGAACCTGAGATTCAGAAACATTACCTAAAGTAGAGCAGTAAAGGGCATGCTAGTTGTTCTATAGGCTCTTTCTTTACTCAGTACTTTCCACAATTAACAATCGCAGGCAAGAATGCTATTCCGTAATTCAAGAATGGGGAAATGTAAGCATGGTAGTACCTACCTGTAACTGTAGCACTCAAGCAGCCGAGACAGAAGGATTTTGATTTCAAGGCCAGTCTGAGCTATGTAGTGAGACTTTGTAAAATAAAATAAATTTAAAATACAAACAATACCAAGTGTTGTGGTACCTGCTCTAAAAGAAGAGGTAGGAGGATCAGGAGTTCAAGGTCAACCTTGGCTACATAGTTTCAGGCCAGCCTGGGCTAAGTGAGAGTCTCAAATAAAATAATAATAACAACAACAGCAAGCTGGGCCTAGTGGCACATGCCTTTAATCCCAGCATTTAGGGGGCAGAGGCAGGTGGATCTCTGTGAGTTCAAGACCATCTTGGTCTATGTGAGTTCTAGGAGAGCCAGAACTACAGAGTGAGACACTATCTCAAAAAGAATGCATGAATGGATGAATAAATAAATGGAGACAATTTAAGAGGAAAGAAGTGTCACCCCCAGTCTAAAACACCTCATCCCCAGGAGCTAGGGGCTTTACCAGCACTGGGCTAGGAGAGGACATAGCACACATTCTGTCCTCAGAGCATGTCAAGTGGAGGAGACTTCCAGGAATCAGGATGCCACCTCTTCTTGCTCCTAAATGTTTGAATGCTGTGGGATTTCACTGTGAGTATGGCTCTGTTATTATTATGAGTTAAGCCCAAGGTTATCTGGAATGACAAAATAACTGCAGGTGAGATTGGACCAGTCCCATGTCCCCCTATCCTTGGGAGGATGAGTGAATGCTATGCACCCTGGAAATACATCAGCATCCAGGCCTCTGCTTCTGCGTGCAAGCAGCCTTTGATAAATAGCATCTCTAGGAAAAGCTAGGACTTGATATTGGGATACAGATGGGGGTGGGGGCACCATCCCTAAGCTTTCAAAAAATAATCCCTGTTGCATTTTTCTACTGGGCAAATGTGTTTGAGTCACAGAGAGGAATGATGTCCCATCTGGCTGGATCTGGATCTTCATCAAGGTCACCCAAGGTGGTTGAAATGGCTGAATGATGTGAGCCTGTGAGTGGGAGGCTGGGGAAGTTGTCCATGTGAGGATGATCTTTGAGGAACAGCAGGAACTGGTGGACAGACAGTGGCTGGGACTGGAGAGCAGCCTGCTGAGCAAAAGGAGCCAGGGCTAGAAGGACAGATGTCAAAGGGTTTCTCTTATACATGGAATCTAGATTTTATACACATGTACACATACACCATGAAAAGTGGAAGGGGCTTTTGGGAGAAGGGGAACACAGGAAAAGGCAGGGGCAGGTAACAGTGAATACCGCCAGTGCATGAGATCTTGAATGACAGGTTGTTATTATTAAGCCAACACTTTATACAGGAAATGCAAACTAATAAAATGTGTTACCATTTTTGGAATGCCAACATTATGGACCTAGCCACCCCTGCCACCATGCCTGCCTGGCTGTGAGGGACTCCATTCCTCTGAACTGAGTCAGAATAAACCGTTTTCCCTTGAGTTGATTTCGCCAGGTATTTGTTCAAAGCTAGGAGAAGAAAAACTAACGCACCAATAGTGGCAGTTCAAGTGTGAACCACACACCCAGCTCTCTGTTTGAAATATTTTACATATACAGTCTTCCAAGCTGGGCCCGGTGTTGTGCCCAAAGTCCCAGCTACTCGGGAAACTAAGGTTAAAAAATTTACAATGGAGCCTGGCAGTGGTGATGCAGTCCTCTAATCCCAGCATTAGGAAGGCAGAGGCAGAAGGATATTTGTCATTCCATGAACAGCCTGATGGATCTACAAAGAGAACTCCCAGACCAGCCAGGGTGTGTAAGTGCACACTACAATTTGAGTTCAAAGCCAGCTTAGGTAATGTAGCAAGAGTCTGTCTTAAAATTAAAATGTTTTAAAGTTCTAGGTGTGAGGGAGCTTCTGCAAAACCTGACAATTCAAGATCAATCTCCTAGCCCGGCGTTGGTGGTGCACGCCTTTAATCCCAGCACTTGGGACGCAGAGGCAGGCAGATCTCTGTGAGTTTAAGGCCAGCCTGGTCTACAGAGAGAGTTCCAGGACAGGCTCCATAGCAACAGAGAAACCCTGTCTTGAAAACCAAAGCCAAACAAAAAGTCAGTCTCCTGTGCTCACATGGTAGGAGAGAGCCAATTTCTAGAAGCTGTCTTCTGATCTTCACACAAGCAAGATGGCACAGGCACTCACGTGCCCATTCGTGTCACATGCACACATGTGCAAACACACTAATGTTTTTATTTCTTTTTTAATATTTAGCAAGGCTGAGAAGTTTCTGTGGATAAATCACAAGCCTGACAACCCCAGTTTGAATCCCCAGTACTGCATAAAGCAACATGGTGGTTGCATAAGTCTGTGGTTGCATGAGTCTGCAATTCCAGTTCTCCTGCGGACAGATGGGAGGCAGAAACAGGAGATCCCCGGAAGCCCAAAGGCAGGGAGCCTGGCACATGCAGAGCTGAAAAACAGAAACCCTGTCTCAAGGTGGAAGGCAAAAGGACATGGAACACCTGAGGTTGCCCCCTGACCTCCACACATACACCATCGCACACACATCATACATACACAAAGAAGAAAAAGACTTTAAAGATTAGCCACCAGGCTAAAGCATGGTGGCACATGGCTGTAATCTCAGCACTCAGGAGGCTGAGGCAGCAGGATCATGAATTGGAGTCCAGTCTGGGCTACACAGTAAGACATAATCTCAAAAATGAAAACAAATTAGCTACCCAGTGAACACACATAGCACAAAGGCAACAGTGGGTTTATTAGCTGTGTGGATGAGTAAAGTCAGCTGGTAACTCTCTTAGAATGGCAATATTTATTGTTGGTTATTTCCAGGGTGTGCCTGACTCAAACCTACAAAAGCCTCATAAGCTGGTACCCAATCCCAGGTAAACCTCTCTGTGGCATGAATGGCACTCCATTTGGAAGTAACTGACTGGTGATTCCTCTAGAAATTGAATATTGGTCTTGGGAACTAACAGCCTCTCCCATCTTCCCAGCCTCTTCTGACACCAAGAGTGGCTTCTCCTTGCAACCATGACAGCTTGTTCCATCCCCCAAGCACCATGCTCCCCCTCCCCCCAAGCACCATGCTCCCCCTCCACCTATTTTATTCCATTTGGGCCTTTTTCCCTTTCTCTCCACGACTCAACCACTTCTCATCCTCAGATCTTGTGACAGAGCTGCTGCCTTCCCCAGAGCCTGTATGTTGCAACTCATCTGTGTCGTCTCCTTCCCAGGGTGAAGCGACATAAGAGCAGGCTCAGATCTGTGGGTCGGTCTTCTTCCTCTTTAGAAGGATCTGTGTGCATCGTGTGGGTACAGATAATGAAACCAGAAAGGGGACCGTGAGACACAGAAATCAGTGTTGTGGGGGAGGGGAGGATATGGGGGAAGGTACTAAAACACCCCGTGTAATGTAAACACAGAAAGGCACTTACTAGAAGGGGAAGGGTCCACGGGAGAGGGCACGGGGAGGAGGGAGGAGAATCAATAAATTTTGTTTGAAAACGCAACAATGAAATGGAAGTGTGTGCTAATTAAAAACAATTTTTAAACTAGGATGGCTCAACAGGTAAAGGTACTTAGCTACCCACACTTTAACATCAGTTTAATCCACAGTAGGAAAGACTGACTCCCAAGTTATCCTGTGATCTCCTTATGTGAACCATGGCACAAATGCCTGAATACTCACTCTCCCTGCACATACCCAATAAATACATGTAAAAGAAATGAATAGAAACCTCCACAAAAACAGTCTCACAACCTTTTATTTTGAAAAACTTCTAAAGCAAGACAGAATAGTTTGTATAGCGCTCCCCCGACCTGTCATTAATGCTAACCGCCCATACGACCACAGCCAGAACCGTGTCACTAACATGGCTGAAATGTTATTCTGATCCAGCATCCACACGGAAATCTCACAGCATGTTTTTATACTTTATCTTTCCCCATATGTGACTGTTTTAGATCTTCCCATATTGTTCCTGGCCGTGACAACCTTGCAGAGCTGTTCCAGGCTTTCTGATGGCTATATTGAAATGACTCTATACTCCTAAAGAGAGTCTCAGAAATGACACATGTCCTTCGGTAATTGTTCATTTTATAGAATTTTGTCTTGTTTTTGACACAGGGTCTCAACTATAGCCCAGGCTAGCCTTGAATTATAATCCTCTAAGGGCTGGTGTGAGCCATCACACCCTGCCAGACAGACTTTTAGAGCATTTAGATACTTGCTCCCTGTGCTGTTTGATGCCAGACTTAGCATCCACTTGGGATTCTTTTTTTTTTTTTTTTTCTTTTGGCTTTTCAAGACAGGGTTTCTCTGTATTGTTCTGGAGGCTGTCCAGGAACTCTCTCTGTAGAACAAGTTGGCCTCGAACTCACAGAGATCTGTCTGCCTCTGTCTCCCGAATGCTGGGACTAAAGGCGTGCACCACCAATACCCGGCATCAGCCTGTGTGATTTATTTGGGAGCTGGGTAATGGACCCCTCAAAGAACAAAGAGTAAGAAGCAACAAGAATGTATGACAAAGCATAGTATAACAGGATGATGTATGCAGGGTTGGGGAATGGGGTACCATGAGGGAATGATATATACAGGGCTGGGAAGCAGGGTGTCATGGTGGAATTCATGCAGGCATGCTCACCTCATGTGGGCAGGAAGCACACAGAGAAAGAACAGGCCGGTGTGTCAATATTCTCTTCAAGTGCCTGCTCCCCAAGACCTCATTTCCTTCTTTCTAAGCCCCAAAACACACCCTTTGTCCCATGATCTGATGTCACCCTTAAAACTTACCTCCATCCCTCAAGAAACATCAAGGGACATTTTAATAAGTATGACATACATAAAAGATTTCCTGTGCCGGGAGGTTGTGGCACACGCCTTTAATCCCAATACTCGGAAAGCAGAGGCAGGCGGATCTTTGTGAGTTTGAGGTCAGACTGGTCTACAGAGAAAGCTCCAGGACAGCCTCCAAAGCTACAGAGAAACCTTGCCTCAAAAAACAAAATTCCTGAGCTAGGAAAGGTCTGTTCTGAACTTGGGTGCAGACTTGGTGGCATAAGCGTATAACCCCAGCGAACAGGAAGACTGAGTTCTAGGTTAGTATACACCACCTAGCAAAACCAAAGAACAAAAGCAGAATGCAAACAAGAAATCAAAAGAGAGCTAGACATGGTTGTATAGGCCTGTTATCCTGAAGGCATAGACACAGTGTAGTTTAGGAACACAGGAGTCTGGAACATAAGGAATTTGAGGCCACTCTAGAATAGAGTGAGACCCTGGGAGGGGCTCAGTCAGTCAAGTATTTACAAGTGTGAGGACCTGAGTTCAAATTCCCAGAGCCATGTAACACTGGGCATTGTGGAACAATTTGCCATTCCAGTCATTCCAGTGATGGTGAGATGTGAGGTGGAGGCAAGTAGACAGATACCCTACCACTCACTAGCTACATAGCCTAGCTCGCATAGCAAGTTCCAGGTTAATGAGGCCCTTAATGGAGGAAGTCCTGTGTATATGTCAATAAAGCACTGTTGGCCAATAGGGAAGCAAGATAGGTGGGACTAGGGATGAGGAGGACTCTGGGTAGGAGAAACACAGGGAGTCAAGATGTAGCCACCATAGGGATAAGAAGCCCGGAAACCTCTCTGGTAAGAGAAATACTTAGATTAACAACTATGGGGTAAATACTTAAGTCAGAGCTAGCCAGTAAGAAACAAGCAAACAGCCAACAGCTTCATAATATAGCCTCCTGTGTGTTCATTTGGGACTGATGCAGCTCTGGAACCAGGCTGGCGAAAAGGCTTCTCTCTACAGACCCTGTCTCAGACAAAAAGTAGAAAAAAAGTAGAAAGCACTATGATCTACACGAGAGAGAGAGAGAGAGAGAGAGAGAGAGAGAGAGAGAGAGAGAGAGAGAGAGAGAGAGAGAGAGAAACAAATGCAGAACAAAGAAGAGAGGAACCTCTAGGCTGAGGAATGTGACATCAGAGCAGAGCAGAACCCCAGCTGCTGCTGAGATAAACAGGAGCACCCACGTTTGGTGCTGCCTGGACTCCCCTGCACCACCCACCAAGTCTTCCCACGGCAACAGCCCACCACAAACAAACTTCCAAAACACCCAGTCATGCTCAGTGAAGCGGGCAACCAAGAAAAGGAGGGCACTCAGCAAGTTAAAAAGGTTTATTGCCTGCCTAGGCTTCCAGTCCAGAACTTGGGCTGTCGGAGGCTCGGGAAGTTATGGTGCAGCCTGATGTGGGATCCACTTTCTTCATGGGATCCCTGTTCCACATGGTGGCTTCTGGGGGACCCACTCCAGTGTGCACCCCTGTAACCTGATGGCGATGTACTCTGAGGCTGGCACAGTGCTCAGCTCTCAGGACACCCAGACCTGCTGTAATGCAGGCTGAGCCCTCTTTGTGGTCAGGCCCCATGGACTTGGCCCTGAAAAGGGAAGAGATGATGCCAGATAACTTGAGACTGAGAAATGGCCACCTGTGAGCCAGATAGCCCCCAGACAAGTCCATGTGGCCCCTTTGGCCTGTACAGTTTTTGTTTTAATTGTTACCAGCAGTTAAAAATTCTAAGATTTCATATAAAAGTCTGGGTTTGGGGCCTAAGGGAGAAAAATATTGTGAATATCTGGCAACATTACATGGCACTTACTGGTCACATTAGGCTGTACCTCCCCAGGACTAGATGCCATTCCAGACCCTGGCCATCTGGCACCGGCGCACATGTGCTATTGGGTTTGGGGTTTTAATTCTTGTCTAGTATAAGGAATGACATCTATTCCTTGTATGTGTGGCATGCCAAAAAAGGAAAAGTGAAAGCCTTGCCTTGGCTCCCTAGGTCCTCTGCTTGGCCCTGCAGGCACCTGGGCTTTTACAGAGCTTAATGGCGTGTGCCCATCATAAGTCCCATGGGGTCTCTGCCACACACCACCCTGCCCCTCCTGGATCCATCAGTCCCTGTGTTGGCTAGGCAAGCTGAGAAGAGAACGCAATTAGTCAGGTAAATTAATGGCGGTGGGCAGACTAAGATAGATTACCTAGGCCTCTTTGCAGGAGAGGCTTAGGGTGGAATGAGAAAGGTTAATGCTGTTATTCTAGTTTTAAGTTGGGGTGGGGATAACTTCAGGAGGCCAAGGTTAGGTCAGTTTGAACTAAAGATTCCCCAAACACGTTGGTTGCCATTCCTTAACTGTTTGGGACAGGAAAGAAACTCTTAGGGAGTCGTAGGGGTGGGGAAGAGCACAGCTCAAAGCCCAAATGTCAGGGCCCGCCTGGTCCATCCTCCCTCAGGTACAGTGATTTGCAGAGAGGGCAGAATTGAAGGAGAATGGTGCTAGAGGGAGGCATGTCTGGGTCCTGGAACACAGAAGAGACACGCCTTCCTGGTGCCCCTTCATTCCGTGGTAGCTGCTGCAGGTTATATGCCCTTGAGAGAGACGGCGATCTTGATGCAGCCCAGGCGTGTCCCCTGGCTGCTCAGGACACCCTGGATACGGTAGTTGCCGGTGCTCAGCCAGCTCGGCAGCTCCAAGTCAGGCACTGTGAAGTTGCTCGTGGGCAGTGAGTAGGTGCCCTGAGGGGGGAGAAGCGAGCCCAAGTCAGGGTGGCCTACTGCCTACAGCTGTGATCTGCCCCCTCTCTTCCCATTCTGCTAAGAGCCAGGAGTGTTGCCATAGCCCTTTTCCAGGCTGCGTAAGTATAAAGGACACCAGTGGTCACATCCAACAGTTGTCCCATTCCACAGATGGGATAAATCAAGGCCCCTGGCCTCCAACATAACAGTTCTCATATACCCATAGAAACAATATGCAGAATGGGAAGACCACTCTACCACAGGAGTGGTATTAGTGCCTTGACACCCCAAGTACTTACTTCCTTGAAGGGACAGTGGCAGGGCAGCCCATAGCTGTGCAGGGGCTCCGGGCAGGGCTCTCCAGGGGGGATGTATAGGTCCAACAGTTGACAGAAGTCCTCATAGGTACAGCTGCCTAGCTGTTCTATACAAGGGATCTTGACCCACAAGCCAGCCACCTCCTTCTCCACGGTGAGCTCCACCTGTCACAGGATTTAACCAAGGTGACAGTGTGAGCTCCAGGGCACATGTTTCAGCTCCTGCCTCTTGAAGTTTCATCTCGTAACCAGCTGCATAAGGCTCATAGACCAATGCATTTCTACTGGTTTTTTGATTGGTTGGTTGGTTTGGTTTTTTGAGACAGGGTTTCTCTGTATTGCTTTGGAACCTGTCCCGGGACTAGCTCTGTAGACCAGGCTGGCCTCAAACTCGGAGAGATCTGCCTGCCTCTGCCTCCCTAGTGCTGGGATTAAAGGCATGCGACACCAACGCCCCGACATTTCCATTGGTTTATTTGAGGCAGGGTCTATACCAGGATGGCTTTGAACTTGCAGTTCCCCTGTCTCTTCCTCCAAGCTACCATGAGTGGTAGAAGGTTTGGCTGGGGGCAGGGAGTGTTCTCAGTATTCATCTTTCCTGATCATCAAATATGAATGTCCCACAAATCATCTTCCAGTTGTCACTATCCACTAGCCGGCTGACTGTGGCATATGTCCTGGGTGCCCTGCCTTCCAGGTCCAGTCTTAGCTATAGGATCTTTATCTATGTTGGCTGTTCCTGGCTCACTCACAGTTTCTCTGTTGTCCCACAAATGGCAGGGCTATAAATGGAAATGTAGCTAGGACCAGCAGTGCACATCTAAATCACGGTACCTTGGAAGAAAAGGCAGGGGAACTGCCTCAAGGCCAGCCTTGTCTACATAATAGCCCCTGTCTCAAACAAACAAACCAATGGAAATGTGTGGAGAGGGTACTTTGAGATTGGTCTATGAGCCTTATTGCAGTTGGCTACAGGAGCTGACCTCCCCAGACTCACCTGGATGAGAAATCTAGAATGCTCTTCCCACTGCCAAGCTACCCTGATCCCACTCCTGTTCTAGTGACTGCCTACATGACTGAGGAGAAGCAGCCAGGACTCCCAAAACAGCCCAGTTGCACGTGGTATATGGAGAAGATTAATTATATCGGTTGTCATGAACACCAGTTGTCTCTCAGAGACACATCTGTATTCTACCAAAGCCAGCAAATGGAAGGTGCAGAGTGGACAGCAGGAAGTTGGCACTCCACAATTCCTGTGGATGTGACACCGTGTGTGTGTGTGTGTGTGTGTGTGTGTGTGTGTGTGTGTGTGTGTGTGTGTGTGTGTGTGTGTGTGTGTGTGTGTCCTCAGGCACCATCCACTTTGTTTTTTAAGTCACTGATTCACCCAGGCTGGTTTGCCAGGAATCCCCTCATCTCTACTTCCTCAGGTCTAGGGTTATAAGTGCACACTGTGTCGTGCCTAGCTTTTTACATGGGTTCTGGGGATTGAATACAAGTGCTAATGCTTGCACAGGAAGCATGATATAAGCTAAGCCATCTCCCCAACCCGGGAAGCCACGGATTTTCAGATCCCTTTCAGCTCTATGCAAGCAACCTACAGTCTCAGCCACATTTTATTTGGGGGTTTCACTTTTGTGTTGTTTGTTTGGATTTTGATGTCTTTCAGTCAGGATTTTGTGACCCAAGCTGGTCTGAAACTTGCTGTGTGCTGTTCTGACAGGAACCATAACGCCAAAAATCACTGGCCATTGGGGGGTTAGACTACAAGATGACATCTATAAGAAGCTAGGCATGGTGTAATGCCAGTCCTCAGGAGGTGATGGCAGAAGGATAGGGAGTTCAAGGCCATCCTCAATTAAGTTCTGAGCTACCTAAGACCCTGGCTCAAAAGAACAGAAACAAGGCTGGGGGTACGGCTTTGGCCGAGTGCTCACCTAACATTCTCGAGAGGTCCTGGGGTCCATCTCCAGAACTGGCAATAAACTGAATATAATAGAACAGCTGTGACCTAAGCACCCCAAGCAGGAGGCAGGAGGGCCAGGAGCTCACAGCAACACAGCAAGTTCAAGATCAGCAAAGGCTACATGCACCCCTTCCTGGAAACCAATACACACACACACACACACACACACACACACACACACACACACACACACACACTCACACAGCACTGCTTGTTTTCATATATATATATATATATCCATTAAAAATAAATATACAGTATGGATAAAGGACCTAGCAATCATCATTTGGCTATGAAGTTCCCATGTGATTTGTTTACTTTCTTCCTTTTGCAATCACCTACATTTTCTTTTTCTTCCCCCACCTTTTTCTTTTTCTTTTTGGTGGGGAGGTGATCTTTAGGTTTTTTTTTTTGGGGGGGTTTTGTTTTGAGACAGGTTTTCTCTCTTTCTCTCGCTCTTTTTGTTTTGTTTTTGGAGACAGGGTTTTTCTGTGTAGCTTTGGGAACCTATCCTGGAACTTACTCTGTAGCCAGGCTGGACTTGAACTCAGAGATTAATGCTGGGATTAAAGGCTGGTTTTCTCTTTTCATGTGGCTTTGGCCAACCTGGAATTTTGTACACTAGACTGGCCTCACAGAGATCACCTGCCTGGGTTTCCCTTCCATTCCCTGAGACTGTGAACCTGGGTAAGTCTGTGAAATCTGAAACCCTTCACAACCCATGAGCATGCACTCCTGCAGCGCCTGCGGACTGCCCACTCCCTGTGCCTCTTCCCCCTCACCCCGGGCTCACCTTCAGAGGAGAAGCGAGGGGGACGCTGGTCGTGCCCTCAACACTGACAATCACATCTCCAGGAATGACAATGGGGTCAGGTTGGAGCGTCAGGCTTTTGATCACGGCAGGGTCCTTTCCTTCATCACAGTTATCCCAGGAGAAGCTGCTGAACCGGGAAGGCTAGGGACAACCACACAGCAAAGGGGGAAGTTGACAAAAAGAAATGTTCAGGTGGAGACCTGCATGTGCCCCTCGGGGCCCCATGCTTACAGTTACTTTGTCTGATCCATTCTTCGGGCAGGACTCCAAAGACAGTCTCCCCATGTGTGAGAGTAAGGTCCAGTGTGGTGACACAGGCAGTGCGTGGGAGATGGATGCAGGAACATTGGGAATTCAAGATCATCTTCAACTTAGGCCGATCTGACTACGTAAGACCTTGTCTCGGGCAGGGAAGGGAGACTTAGCTTGGTATGGTGGTGCAAGACGGTAGAGTAAACACTCAGGTTGAGGCAAGACGATGGAACGTTTGTGGTCACTCTAGATCAGCCTAGGCTACAAGCAAAGATGGGAAAAATGGAAGGGAGGAAGGATTGAAGGGAAGGACGGAGGGAGGGAGGGGGCGAGGGAGGGAGGGAGGGAAGGGAGTGGGGAACTCACCCCTGGTATAAGGAAACATTGGCAGCTGAGAGAGGGGAATTCATTATGGGGGGGCTACTCATCGATATGCCACGCCCTAAACTGTGCACAAATGGGCAGCACTGATTGGATTTAGTGGGTTATTAACAGGAAGAGGAGGTGAGGATGGTAGGCAGATGTGCTGGGTGATTAAAAGAGAAGGTGGGGGATTGTACCGGAGATGATCTAAATACGGTGTATACAAGTTGTCCATGAATAAATTAAATATTCCTTTAACAAATGGAATTAACCCCACCTAGCTTTGGGGATCCCACTTCTAATTTCCCACCCTCCTGCCACCCATTTCTCTCCAGCCTGCTTTAGGTTGCCACAGGACAAGCTCCTGGAAGAGTCACCCTTGTATTGAGCCTGGTCATGACCCACCCCATGTCCAATCCAAGGACAGCAACAACAGGGAAGACATTAACACAGGACAGAGGGAACAACAGTTACCCAAGCCTCACCCTTCAGGGAACAGGACCCACAGGACGAGATCTACAGGGGTCCCTCAATGATGAGCAATCCCAGGAAATGACTTTCTCATCTTACAAGCATATTCTTACTCCCATATCCTGAACCACACCATATCCCCAACCTGAGTCACCCACCACTCCTCTGCAGAAGCCCTTCCCTAATCTTCCTCCATGTGCCCTAGGTCCAACTCATGTGACCATCCTCACCCCAGGACCTCAGGATCTGGAATTCAGTCTACACCTCCCTTCCACCCTCCTTCGCTCTCCCTATCTCCCTCCTATATATGCTCACACACCTCAAAGGCCATCCATGTACAAGAACTCTCAGCATTACCATTATCCACACCTGGTCTTTGAAAACCTACCAGTCCTGCACCCCGGCCTGGCCTCCATCCTAACACACCCATAGCTATCTGGACCAGGAACACCTGATTCACGTTAGGCCACAGCTTCTCTCTGCCTGATTTTGGAATTAAGACACAAGAAGCTGTGTGACCCTATGACATGAGGCTTGGCATTATCTTGGGTCAAAAGTTTTGATCTGGGTTCCAAGAGATGAGACTAAGGCCTCTTCTGTCTGATGTAAAAGGGACACAGGGTCAGTCCCACACAATCTACTACAACACTAAAGGAACCAGGCAGATGACATACACTAGTAACCACAGCACTTGGGATTTCAAATTTGAAGCCAGTTTGGGCTACATAGTGAGACACTGTCCTTAAAACAGAACAAAAAGCAATATGAAACCAGGCACGGTGCACAATCCCAGCACTTGTGAGATGGACACTAGAAGCTCAAGTTCAAAGTCATCCTCGGTGAGTTCACACCCAACCTGGGATGAAACCCCATCTTAAAAAATAGAGGAAAAGAAAAAAGAAAAACATTACAGGGAAGCCAGGCGTTTGTTGGTGGCGCACGCCTCCAGCACTCGGGAGGCAGGGGCAAGCAGATCTCTGTGAGTTCCAGGCCAGCCTGGTCTACAGAGTGAGTTCCCGGGGAGCCTCCAAAACAATACAGAGAAACCCTGTCTCGAAAAACCAAAAAAAAAAAAAAAAAGAAAGAAAGAAAAGAAAAACATTACAGGGAGCAGAGACAGGTATGGCCTTGGAGTGCCAGTCAGAAAAACTAGGCTCCAGTCAAACAGACCTGGTTTAAAATCACATGTACTGCCTTGGAGTCCTGATTTCCACACCTTTTAAGTGGAGACACTTAGTAGCTTCCTCTCAAGGCTGTTGGAAAGGTGAGAACACATATATAAGAACTCATGACACGGTGTCAGGCACCAAGTGTGAGCTGGCTCACTAAGTGACAGCCATGTGCCTCCCTGGCCTGTTTCCTGCCACCAACTCCATGAGATCCCTGTGAGCTTCTGATCCCTGGAATGAAAGGCCACACTGTGACTAAGAAAGGCAGGGCCAGGGTAGGTACCAGCAGATATTTTACTCAAACTTCATTCCACAAGTATTCGTGGAGCAACTATTTCAGGCCTGGGACTATGTAAACAATAGGAAGCAGTCAGTGCTGCCCAGCCTTATGGGGCTTATAGTCTAACGTAAATAGGTATTACCCAGGCTGGCAGTGTAACTCCGTGGTAGACAGCTTGCCTAGCATGCCTGAAGCCCCAGGTTCAAGTCCAAGTACTAGAGGGTAGAAAAAAAAGAAGGATGGAAGGAAGGAAGGAAGGAAGGAAGGAAGGAAGGAAGGAAGGAAGGAAGGAAGGAAGGATCAACCACTGTAATCCAAGTGCCAGAAGGTAACCTGGAGAGGTGACATTTAAGACATTCTTTCAGGATGAGAAGTCAGTCGTTGACACAGAGCACAAGCAAAGGTCCTGGGGTAGAAACTCAGCTGGTTCAGGCACTGCAGAAGGACCAACAGACTAGTCATGTTGAATGAAGGAACTTGCTGACACTGGAGGGGTGAGCAGGCTCATTTACCATAGGCCCTCATAGGTCACATTCAAAAGAACAAACTGACCGCAGTGCAATCAAACACCTTCAGAAGAAAGTGCTGTGCTTGAATAATGGACTGGGGACTGGGGAAAGGCCGGCCATAAGTGAAAGAATGGCTGAGTAGTAGCCTGAGCTGAAATATAGTGAGAGGCTGCTTTCCCCAAATCAGCAGCCTGATCCACACTGAGGATTGACTTTGGGCTTAGGGAAGTTTCTAGAGTGTCCTTTTAGAATCCTCCACCATCCCTGGCGGTAGTGGAACATGCCTTTAATCCCAGCACTCAGGAGGCAGGGGCAGGTGGATCTCTGTGAGTTCGAGGCCAGCCTGGTCTACATTGCAAGTTCCAGGACAGCCTCCAAAACTACAGAGAAACCCTGTCTCCAGAAAAATAAAAAATAAAAAAAAAGAAGAAAAAAAGAATCCTCCACCCTCTCCTGAACACCTCTGCACCCAGCCCTAGGGGACTTCTCACAAGGTCTTTGTCCACTGGCAGGGTCTGGGCAGCTGCAGCTGTGTTGCAGCACCTGAATTCAAGCTCATAGGAAAAGGGAGGACAGAGATCAACAGTGCCTACCTACCAGCTGGGCGTTGGTGGCGCATGCCTTTAATCCCAGCATTCGGGAGGCAGAGGCAGGTAGATCTCTGTGAGTTCCAGACCAGCCTGGTCTACAGAGCGAGTTCCAGGACAGCCTTCAAAACAACACAGAGAAACTCTGTTTTGGGGGGGGGGGGGACAATGCCTACCTACCAGATGCCATCCCCAGCCTAGACCAAGACACAGGAAGAACAAGCTGGAATGTGACAACGAAAAGATGTGGCTGAGTAGGCAGAACATAGGGACAGCTGCAGGTATAGGTTAAACTCACATACCCGATGCTACCACTATCACTAGTAGGCACCTCGGGCATGTTAACTAACCCCTGGAGGTTCAACTTCTTCATTTACCAAAGGGCATGACTATATCTTCTGCCAGGACAATGGCCTGAGTAAAAAGTCTGTACACAGAAAGCAACAGGACTCCGCTCCTAAAGGCAGCCAAGCTCATTTAAATTTTCTGTCCCAGGCCTGAGAAGAGTGGGAAGATGTGACAGGGATGACATTATGGAATCCCAGAGCAGGTGCTGGAACAGAAAGAGGACATTCATGGGAAAGTGACCAGTCCAAAATAAAGCCTAGTTTGGTTCACAGTGACGGACCCACACTGGTTTCATGGTTTTAACAAGCGTGGGGATCTAACAAGGGCAATAAGGTAAATACAAAAAAGGCTATACTAGGGAGCTGGAGAGATGGCTCAGAGGTTAAGAGCACTGGCTACTCTTCCAAAGGTCCTGAGTTCAATTCCCAGCAACCACATGGTGACTCACGACCATCTGTAATGAGATGTGGTGCCCTCTTCTGGTGTGCAAGCATACATGTAGGCAGAGGGCAGAGCACTGTATACATAATAAATAAATCTTAAAAAAAAAAAGAAATACCCATCTAAAAAAAAAAGGCTCCTTTAATCCCAGCACTCGGGAGGCAGAGGCAGGTGGATCTCTGTGAGTTCGAGACCAGCCTGAACTACCAAGCGAGTTCCAGGACAGCCTCCAAAGCCACAGAGAAACCCTGTCTCGAAAAACCAAAATAAATAAATAAATAAATAAATAAATAAAGGCTATACTAATAAATTATTCCAAAATTAGAAAAGTTCCCTGTAATCCCAGCAATTGGGAGATAGAAGCAGGAGGATTAGGAGTTCAAGGTCATCCTTGGCTACAGAGGTTTAGGCTAGCTGGAGCTACAAAGAGCCTGCCCCCCCAAATTGTTTTTTAATGAGGAAAAATACAAAATTCAATCCATAGCACACAGTAGGTATATAATAAATGATACGCAGTATACAACAAAGAGTCCAGTAATTGCCTACTATCTGCCCAGCACAGAGGCAGCTATTCTACTATTATCTGAGAATCACCACAGCCCAGGATCACAAGACCAGTCAACCATACAAGAGGAAGCCAGGGCTCCGGAGGCTCGCTCACTGGTCACTCCACGGCCTCCTCCAGCCTATGTCTGCAGAGTAGTCAGGTTCTGAGCACACAAGCCTACAGAGTCGATATAGGCGACAAAAGGGAAGGCTCAAAAGTGACACTGACAGACCTTGAGTAAGTCCCTAATGCACAGGAGGTTGGTGCCTAAGGTGTCTGAGTCTCTCCAAATCGCCTATCTCAACCCCTGACCTTTAACGTCACCCACAGGCAAAGCACACGGGAGAATGAGGGATATCCTCAGACCTACAGTCTCTTAACTGGGCTTCACTTCACAAGGCCAGCTGTCCGGGACACCAAGAGACAAGCTGCCTAGCCTCTGGGCAAACAAAGTCAAAAGGTCCTTCCTCCTACATGTAACAGACTTCCTGCCTCCAGACAAAACAAGGACAAGCCATACTGGCCTCTACCGTACTATTCTTTGGGCATTCTGCAAACATCTCCTTCATGAAAGTTCTTACTCTGTGTTGACATCACACCCATTTTACAGATAGCAGACCGAGGCTCAGGTTATCCACAAGAGACAACAGAAGAGAAATCAGAAGTCACCCCCACACACACACACACACCACCTCCACTTTCACAGCCTCATCCCTTTCCCCTTTATGGTTCCTGGCTTACAACCAGGAGCAGCGGGATCACATGGCTGGCCCTCAGTCTCTTGGTGGCCAAGTGTGGACCTCCGGGCCTGATTCAATCGTCCCACCCGCAGGAAGACCTCAGAGACAAGCAGAAAACAGGGAAAGAAAATAGTGGGTAATGCAGCGAATCACGGGCTGAGAACCTGGGCCTGAGGCCAGTGCGGTCGCTTCGCTGCTTTGCACCCAGAAAGAATGGTAAAGAAGGAAATCAGAGACGAGTCCCTCCAGGATAATCGGGACCCAGCATCCGCGGGCTGAGGATCTGTTTCAGGACCTCGACTCCAGGATCAGGGGCACTTACGCGCTTCCTGCCGAGGCGCGCAGGAGCAGAGGGGCCCAAGAGCAACAAGCCCAGCACGAGCAGCAGCGATACACGATACATTGCGACGGTCCTCGCGATCCTAGGCACTGCAGCTCACAGGTGCCTTTAAAGGCTGCAAGTCCCTATGCAAAGTCTGGCCCGCACTCAACGCTCCGCCCTGCGCTGCCCAGATTGCACGCCACAGTGGGGACTTCTCTGGCCACGCCCCCAGTACCGCCCGCTTCAACCCCACCCTCAACGGCCTACTGCAGGGGCAGAGCCCGAAGACGAAACAGGCTCTACGAGAGGCGGGGCCGATTGAGGGCGGAGCTGAGGGAAGGGGCGAGGATAAGAGGGCGGGAAAGGGCCGAGAGCGAGGGGCGGGACTACATGGGGGTGTGGCTAGGGGAAGGAGGGGCAGGGAGGAGCGCGAGGAAGGGGCTGAATGCCGAAGTTTTCAACTCGCGGGTGGGGCTGGGCAGAGCTCCGGGCGTAGAGAGAGAGAGAGGGACAGTGCTTGCTGGGGCGGGGCGAAGTGCTCCGGAAGGCTATCGTCCGGAACCTCGGGGTTTGGATTTCTTCCCCATCCCAGGTCCTTATCTGCAGAAATGCAAAAGTCCTTTTCAGTTTCCCGCTCCCGTGTTCCCGTGACTCCAGGCATCTGACTTTTAACGACATCGGCTAGTCTGAAAATTAGCTTCATTAGTCTGGAGGAAGCACCTGCGGCTGAGGCTAGGGGGCGGCGGTGGCACTTACCGCGATCCGCAGTCTTTTGCTAAAACAGCAAGGTTTACTTTCCAAAGCACAAACAAAATGCCAGAAATCTCAGCGTTGGGAGGGCAGAGATAGCACAGTCTGCCACTGCAGCAGCCCGAGCGAGGCATTCGAGGCCTCCCTCCACTAGGGCCAAACCCCATGGACTTCGTCACTGAAAATAATTTCAGGACTAGCCTTATGGTGAAGACTAGTTGGTGGTTTTATTAAAAATATTTGAATAAAAGTTTAAGTCTGAGGCTTATAAGACAAAAAGGGTGTCCAGTGTTATGGTGGAAGTTCCACCCAAGTCCCCTCCCCATCTCTCTCCCAACCCTGCTGCATCTCAGAAAGCCTGCCAAATGATGATCTCTCCCCCTGCGATGCTCAAGGCCACTCCCAAAGGGTATTTAAACCGCCCCCCCAAAACAGACGAGGTTTTCCGGCCTCTGGGGGGCTGGAAGGTCATCCAAGAGCATTGTATCCGTTAAACGTGGGCATTCTCTAATTTGGCTTGATTTGGTCTGATTTGGATTGCTGCATCAGCGGAAAGGCTTATCAGGTATAGAAACTTTTCACCCAGAACAAAGTTAAGACACACTGGAAAGTTGATAGTGGTCTTCTCAAAGACTCCAAGAGTCCTCATTCTGACTATCTACAAGATTTTGGAAGCCTTTTGGAATTCCATTTCTCCAAGCGTTTCCGGGGACCCCATCCCTGTTTCTTTATTTGATAACTAAGGTTACAGGTTGGCTCCAGAGTTGTCTTGGGCAGGGTTCCAAGCTGGTCAGCTAAAACCAGAAAACACTGAACTTGCACAGGGAGTGGAGTGCATGTGCTTTTTGGTAAATGGAATTTCTAGTTAAGATTGATTGTAGAGTTACAACTAGGAATGGGGGGTGGCGCCTTAAGCTATAGCTGATTGATTGTGCTGGGATTCTTGCTTTTCTGCTCTAACCAGATTCCAGGTGAAGGGGCTCCTTTTTCCTTCTTACCTCCCCCATGTTCTCTATCTTTCTTCTTTAAGAAGTAAATCAGTGTGGTTTGTCTTTAGTCTGAGGTACCCTTATAATTTCTCAGAGTCACAGATAATCAGGAGGTTGAGGCACCTCTCTCCCCTTATTCGTTGGCTATCACCCGTTGTCTGAAAACTGAGCCTTGGAAAGCTATAGGCAGTCCTCTAAAGCCACCATTAGAAAAAGGAGCAGGATGCCCTGCCGGGCATCATGGTACACGCCTTTAATTCCAGCACTAAACAGACAGAAGCAAGTAGATCTTTATGGAAAAGAGGGAAGGAATTTCCCTGTCTTTCATTCAGCACCCCAGCCATTTTTGCTTTGTCTCTATGTGCCTTTCTGAAGAATGGTTTATAAAACTGCTTCATTTTCACAATCTCTCAAATTTGTTATTACAGAGAGAGGGTCTTGTTTCTCACTGTATCTTGCCTCAGAAATATTCCTTCAAATTACTGTAAGAAGTGGGACTATAACTTTTAGTTCCTAATGAATAGCCAGTGCCTGACAAAGCTGTAAACCTTTAAAGTGTCTTTTAAGTTACATTTTTGTCTTCTTTATTTTGTGTGTTTGTATGGGGTCAGAGGACAATCTCTGTGGGAGTTGGTTCTTTCCTTCTGCCCTGTGGATCCAGGATATCAAATTCAGATTGGCAAACTTGGCAGCAAACACCTTAACCCAATAAGCCATTCTCACTGGCCTGAAACAATAATTTTTTTGTTGTTTATGGGCAGTGGTGGTGCACACCTTTAATCCTGGCACTCAGGAGGCAGAGGCAGGCAGGCAGATCTCTGGGAATTTGAAGCCAGCCTGGTCTACAGAGCAAGTTCCAAGACAGCAAAGGCTACATGGAAAAACCCCATTTCAAAAAAAAAACAAATAATAATATAAGTAAGTTTTATTTTGGAATTAATTTTGAATTTGTTTTTTAAAGCTGCAAAAAACAGATCTGAAATCTTGCAGTTTCCCTCTTGTTCATACTGCAATATACTTTATATCATTAAGAACATAACATTGATTCATCATTATTAGCTAGGCTGCACACTTTACCTGACGGTCCTCTCATAATAAACTCTCCTTCATCACACACAAAAGCAAGCATGGAATCACAGGGGAAAGACTCCTTGCCCAATGCTATATAGCATAGTGAAAGGATAGGTCATTTCTGCTGTGGCTGATTCCACTACTTGTTGGGGTTACCCATGTAGCCTTACCTTTGCTGGATAGGTAGGACTGCAGTGCCAACTCTGAGCATGTTGGAGCATCACACAAAATAGGCAGACTCCCTTTGGGTATCATTCATTCAGCCATACAGTTGCCTGTAGAAGGACTTTCTTTGGATCACTAGCTCCCCAATAATGACACAGAGACTTATTATTAAATATGAAAGCTTTCCTTCCCTTAGCTCAGCTTGTCCCACTATACCTTCAATTAACCTGTTTCTGTTAATCTATGTTCTGCCATGTGGCTTTTTACCTCTCCTTCATTCTGTATGTCTGACTCCCTCTGTATCTCCCTGGTGTATCACTTCTCTTCTTCCCAGAGTTTCCCCTATTCGCTCCTGCCTAGCTATTGACCATTCAGCGCTTCATTAAAACAAGCAGGTGCCTTAGTCAGGCAAGGAAAAACAGTGGCACATCATTACACAGTTTAAACCAATATCCCACAACAGTTGCCAAGTCCCTACATCCCAGGACATCACCCATTTTCTCCTGACTCCTAACCCTCCATACTCTCAGCTGAACACCCTCCAAGATCTAAGAAGTCTGTGGCCTTGGGAAGTTGGAAGGTTGCTTCTCACAGCTATCTTAGAAGGTTTCCAGGTGAGCAAACACAATTCTTCAGATTTGTGTAACTGTTACCTTCCCCATGAATGGCCTTGAAGGATATTCTAGAACCTCACAGACACAGTGACTGGAAAGCAAAACCAGAACCATGATGGCAGGAGAGATGGGATAGAGGCTTGGAATGATTGGACCTGATGGGAAATGCAGAGAAATATGGGTTTTCCTTCTTAAGCCCTTGCAAAAATTGGGTTGGGGTCATTTCCCGGGACCCTGGGTATGGACCTGGCCAGAGTCCATCCACCTGAGCAGCTTCAATTAAAGCTTCAATTAATTAAAGTTTGCTTCAATTTTAGCTTTAAACTGTGGTAGTGTGGGGGCACCAGACCTTGAGCAGAAACCCACTTCCCCTTCGGCCTGGGAGCAGGCAGCTGTGAGATAATGTTTACTGAAAACAATTCAGTGCTATAAAGCTCTTGATAGGGCTCAGATAAGGGCTCCCTCACTGAAACACCATGACTTTGACACCCCCTATGGCTAGATGCTTCTTCCTGTCCCCCCTGCTGTTTCTCCCTGATTCTGGGGCAGGAGATTAAACCACCAGCCAGGAGGGTGAGAAGTCTGGGAGAGTTGTTGGAGAATTGTATGTAGATGGATGGCAGAAGTCTTTAAAAAGGGAAGCGTTTTTCTTGGGAGTTCTCCTAAGCTGACTTAGGGTCTCCTCCTAAGCTGACTGGGGTAGCATAAAGTTTTCTTAAAGCAACTGACCGGACTCTGTGTCATCTATCCAGACCACCTCGCTACATTCTCGGATGCAGGCTGCACAGCAGGTGCGACATGGTAGTAGTCTTATTTTCCAACAGTGGTATTAAATAGTATGCCTATAATAACCCCAGCACTCTTGAACCTTCTGCCTCCATTTTCCCAAAAATTTACTTCATTTTGGGTTTTTTGTTTTGGTCTTGTTTTCTGGTTTTCTGTAACAGGATCTCACTATGTAACTCTATCTGGTCTTGAATTTGCTACATAGACCAGAATGGCCTTGAACTCACAAAGATCTACCTACCTCTGTCAACATTTTTACTTAATCTTTTAAGATTAGGTAACAGCTCTTATCTCTAAGCCATGTGTTGGTGTACTTTTATAATCCTAGCACTCTAGATAGACGCTTAGGCAGATTGCCAGGAATGGGAAGCCATCCTGGGCCATATAGTGAGTTCCAGGCCTTAGACAATGGGTCTTCTCCAAGTTACTATTGTTCTGTCTATGGTGTGGGGTCTCTGACTTTAGCAAAATCAGAGAAATAAAATGTTACTGCTGCCTTTTTCTTTATTGTTTTACGTATATGAGTGTTTGCCTATGTGTCTAGTGTGCACAAGGTACCTCTTAAGAAGAGCATACTGGATCCCTTGAAACTGGAGGTACAGATGACTATGAGCCATCATATGGGTGCTGGAAACCAAACCCAGGTCCTCTGCAAAAGCAGCCAGTACCTTTAACCATTGAGCCGTGTCTCCTGCCCCATGTTTTTGTTTGTTTGTTGTTGTTTTGGTTTTTCAAGACAAGGTTTCTCTGTGTAGCCCTGGCTGTCCTAGAACTTTCTCTGTAGACCAAACTGGCCTTGAACTCACAGAGATCCTCCTGCCTCTGCCTCCTGAGGCA